CCCCGTGCTACACCATGAACACGTGGAGGGCTGTTGGAAGCTTGTCTGCAGGGAGTGCCCAGCTGGAATGCCAGGATGGACAGGCACATATTTCACAGGAACTCAGTGCTGTCACCCTGTATCACGAGTGTCTGTGGCCATTTAATGTCACCAAGGCCTGGCTGAGGCATGCCATGCTGAGGACTGAGCAGCTTTTTTGGGATATGCACCTTGCCTTTGCAGCTGGCTTTGTGCAGCTCAGTGGCCTCTAAATAAACCCTGTAGATTTATACTTGAATGGTGTAGGAAACACATCTTTGCTGCTGTCAAAAAACTGTGCAGCTACTGCTTGAACAGCTATCTGCTGTCTGACTGGCTGCAGGCCATTTCTCTCTGCTGTGCTGGACCTGAAAAAGCCCTGGAGAGCCCCTGTGGAAAGGCTGCAGTGGATCAGGTCACAACACAAACCTACCAGCATTCTGTCAGTCACAGTGCCACAGGTTTAAGCCACACAACTGTGGATGCTTTGCTGGCACATGAATGGGAGTAGTCTTGGGAGTCAAATGCTGAAGGGTTACAGGCAATCTTGGATTTACATGTTCACAGATATGAGTGTGTGTCTGTGAATGTTTATGGCTCTGTCTGGGTAAATCTTTAAGAACCTCCAAGGATGGCCTTTTTGGGCAACCTATTCTGATTGTGCACCACTGCCCCAATAAAAAATTTGTTTCCCAATGTCCATCCTGAATCTCTGAATTCACAGCCATTGGCTTTTGTTGTATTATTTAGCCCTACAAAGAAGTATTTTGTTCCCATTGCAACTGCCTGTCAAGTAGTTGTAGGAATTTCTTGGAGTTGTTGCAGTTTCCTTGGAATGAAGATTATCCAGGGTGAACAATTAACTTTCTTGTTTCTTTTTTTTTTTTTTTTTTTAATTTTTTTCCCTGCATCTTAGTATTTAATTTCTTGGTGTCCTGCTTGGATTTCCATCTAGGATTTCATATATGCAGCAAAGCTTATTGACTATTATTTAATAGACATATTTAACACAATTTTAAAATTGATTAGGGTCAGAGATCTTAATATACCTTTGTATGGCAACCCTTTCTTTGAGAAGTGATGAACTTGCCTTTTCAAAGCCAAACACTTGAGCAAACTGGAGTATCCAAGGACTAGAGTCAGCGAGTGGCCTTCCTGTGATGGTCTTCTGGTGGATGTTGTTGTTCCATAGGAAAATTCCTAATAACACCTTTCTGCTGCTTTGTCCCTCCATGCCGTGGGGCTCCAGGGTTCATTCTGCCATGAATTTCAGGGCTCTGAAACCCCTGCCTCTGTTGCCCATCATGGCTTACATGGATTCAAAACCAGCTGAAGGCAGTTCCTGCTGGTAGCCTTCGGGTCAGTTGTCAGCAGGTGGCCTTGTCCTTTATGTGGATGTGAGGAAGCACGGGACAGCTGCCAGACATGGCCACTGCCCTGGAATGCTGACCAGCCTGGGCTTATCAAGCACTAGAAGAGCTGTAAAGCAGACTCAGACGACCCTGCTGTGAACTTGCTTATGGAGAAACACTGGAGTCTTGAACATCTGAAACCCCTTTATCATCTGGCACAAAGGACAATGTGAATAATCAGACTGGGCACCCATGCACCTCTCCCTATGTGGGGCTACCCAAAACACAGAGCTGCAGGCTGGATTTGGATTTTGGAGGGCGTTTTTTAGATCTCTGCCTTCCCAGATGAAATCAGTAGCAGTGACAAGGGGGATATTTCTGTGCATCCACTGGAGTGAGGAAAGTGCCTCTTCTGTCAGCTCTGCTGTGCAGGCCTGATACCACACTGGGTGTGGGCAAAGGGGCAGTGCTGGGGTGGGAAGCTGGAGCAGAGCATAATTACCCAAATTCAACCACGTTTCATGCACAGAGACTGTTATCCCGTTGCTCTGACAGCAGGCTGCTGCCTTTTTTATTTTTTTCCTTTCATTTTGTTATTTTTTTAGGTGGAATTTAAGGCGTGAGCTGCAAAACACAAAGCAGCTCTGGCTGTGATTACCTCTGTGAGTGCTTTTCCCTCCTCCTGTGGTCACAGGCAGCTGAGGAAAAGCAAAAGCTGTCAGGTCCCTGCAAAAAAAGAGAGAAATTAGTGCTGGCAGAGTCTGCACGAGACAACTTATCTGCTGTGAAGTTTGAGTCCCTTGTTCCTGCTGGTGTGATCTGTTAATATAATATGCCTGAAATGTTTTCTTACATTCTTACATTTTTTTTCTAAGATGTGCAAGATGAAAAATGTGGGGACATTTACTCCAGTACCAGAGGAATAGTGGTGGGCTGGCTTTCTTTTTGTACATTGACAATCTATGCCATTAATTACATGTCTGCATTTATGTAAAGAACTATGTAAAGCTTATGCTTTAAAATCTGTAATGGATTCATAGGTGTTGAGTATTTAGATGAAGGAAAAAGTCCTTTTAAGAAAAAAAAAGTGAAGTTAGAGGAGGTCTTTCAGCAGGTGTGTTTATTACATTTACTGCTATCAGTATCAGTTGGTAGTACTGAAAAAGCCTTAAAGCAGTTTTGTTAATATTCAGCTCTTAATTCTTCTCACTGGTCACTTAAAATACTCTTCTCAGATTCAGTCCCGTGTTCTTCATGGCACTTCAGTAAAGTCCTGCTCTACTGGGCTGGCAGGTAACATAAAAGAGTCTGTGCTCTAAAAAGGCTCACAGCCATGCTCCTGAACCTTGGCAATATTTCTGTCAACTCCCCAGCTGATGGCAAGGAAGTGCACTAAAGCCTTACTTTCTTTTCCCTGTGGTAAGCAGACTTTCCTCAAATAGCAAGAGGCAAATAAGTTTAGTATGTAGTCTGGTTTAATTAATGTTTTCCAGGATTAATACTAAGTAAATCTCAGATCAACAGTTCTGTATATTCCTTATCAGGCTTTTAATTGCTTCAAGTATATGGCTCATTCCGTTTCTAGGTGTTTACGTCTCTGTTTACTATTTGGTACTATCCTTCTCCTCTTCCTTCCCACATCCTCCTTCTCCTTCAGTCCCACGTTCTTGTCATCAGTTTAAATACAGTTGCATCCAGGTTGGGCTGAGTGATGCAGACTTGTGTGTATGCTCAGGGCCATTTAGAAAACAAAAAGATTATTTGAATTTATTCCCTGATACAAGTTTTTGTATTTAAAACACAAACCCAGCCAGATAGTTGTTGGAGATTACAGATGCAGAAATAAAATTTTGCCTCATTAAGATTTTCTGTATAAATTCCAGTAGTCCCTAAATTGGGTATTTCACTGTTTTAAAGATTGATATCCCAGTTTAAGGTAGCAGCCTCAGGAGATCTGATGGGGCTATTTTTGTGAATACTTAGGCCAGCCTTTGTTGGTGTTGTTTAAATAAAAGCATTTAGATGTTTAAGTTTAGAGCCTTGTATTTAAAAACAAACCCCCGGCCTAAACTAAAAGTCTGTCATCAACTTTCTCTTGTGAATCACGTTTTCACCAAAAAAATCCTTCTTCCTGAAGTGGCTTGAAGGAAAAAAAATAAAAAAAATTATGGAAATGCTGTGTGATTTCTTACCTAGTACACTGCTGATTTATAGGCAGACAGAACTAAATGTGTGAGTATGTAGTCATTACTGTTCTGTATTAGATTCTACTTTTGCTTTGGGTTTTTTCACCAATTTTTTAATTCTCAGGTTGTTTTCACATTGCACTAATCATTCCAATTACACACGTGTAATTTGGCATTTGGTGCATATTAAATCCTCTTCAGCTGCATTTCAACACTGATGCTGGACTGTGGTTCTGAACTCATTGTTCAAAAGAAAGTTCATTCTCGACCAGAAGTGTTGAATTCCCTGCAATGTTTCCTTCATGCATCAAGCAAATTTGTAAAAGATAATTACTGACCTCACACTTGTGATGTGCTTCAGTTATCCTTATGGCTGTGAGGGCCATGTCAGCTCCAGGTCATGGCTTTGCTCAGCCTGTAACGGGCTGGCAGAAAGGAGAGTAGTAGTTATTCATGGAAGCACTTCCACATCCATTTCTATGTCCTTGCAGAACCGTGTGAATTCCTGTTCTAGGGCTGTGAATTAAAACCAGGACAGATTTTCTTTAGGATGAAACTGTAGAAACACTCACACTCTTTGGTTTGCCTTTTTTTGGATAGGTCAGGCAACTGTTTCATGGACTGTTGTATTGCCAGCTGCTTTTTAGTTGGGAAAACATTTGTAGAAATAGTAGTGTGTTCATCCTCTTTTTACTGATACATTAATGGCAGTAGTACAGGAGAGATTGTTGAGAGCAGCAGTAGCAAAACTTGCAAGGGAGTAACAGAGGAAGCAGGACGCTGTTGTTGAGGAATATGGCTGGAAGTGTTTTTTCTTGTGTGTTTACAATGAACACTGTGCAGTGAGAGGAAGAATGTCTCCTGCAGGGAGCGTGGGTCAGTAGAAGGGAGGAGAAGGAGCATCAGGACCTCCCTGTTAAAATACATTGATAAACCATGGCTGGAAACAGCTCTGAGCTGTGAAGAGCTGCATGAATGCCCTTGGCTTGCATAGCTGGGGTGTGTCCCACTGCAGCAGGCAGGGATAGGAATGGGGAGAGGGGGATCAGGGTCTGCAGCTGCCCGCAGCTCTGTCTGTGCCTGCAGAAATCACTGCATTGGAGCAAAACCCCAGGTTTTTCCTTACCCAGCCATAGGCTGAGTGTGCAGCCTTGCCTGGATGTCTCAGATCTCTGAGCATACTCGCCTTTGCTTAAGAGGGGATTAAGCAGGCTGAGCAAACTGCTTTGGAATACAGGTACGAGCCTCCTGTCTGAGTGTGCCAAGCAGCATTACTGCATTTCAAGTGACCTTTCAGTCTGAAACTTTGCCAAAGGGAGGGGAAAGGAAGCCACCGTTGACTCGAGCTCTGCACAGAGATCCTGCAAACAGATGGTGTTTGCATATAGGATATTCTGTTCGGGTGCGACCCCACTACAACGCTCTTCGTTTTTAATGATTGCAGGCGCGCTAAACTCCGGCTATATTTGGAACAGCTAAAACAGCTTGTGCCTCTCGGGCCGGACAGCACCAGACACACCACTCTAAGTCTGTTGAAAAGAGCTAAGATGCATATCAAGGTAAAAACATTCATCCATGTTCTTATTTCTTTTAAGGGAGATTCTTCCAGAATGTGTATCCATTGAGAAGAAACAAATTTTCACACAAAATCCATATCCATATGTCCAATCTTCTGGATTTATTGGCCTTTATTACTTGCAGGGATTTCTGTTACAGTGTCAAAGTTTAGTGTTCTGTAATTTAGCATCTCAAATATATAAAACAGTGATTTTGTGATTTCTGCTTAGTTACTAGCTAGTGTATTTAATGATTTACACCATAATTTAAAAAAAATCTGTAAAAGCTGTTCTTTGATTAGTATATTTACTTTTAAAGAACTGAGCAAAGTAGCATTGTACTGCATTGTTTTAAATGTAAAAAGCCAGATCCATTCATGATGAAAAAGGTAATTGAATCCAAAAGATCATATCTATTAGTAAGCCTTATCTCCATCAACATTTTGTTGACCAGATTCTCTTTAAATGAAACAAAAATTAAATGCGATCTCCTATTAGTTGCTGCTCCCCTTGTTACAAGTTTAAAACAAAAAACAGCCTCAAATCTCACGTATGATCCAGCAGCAGTACAGGTTCTACATTTGCACAGGTAATTCAGAGGAGATTATTCCTCAGGCCTCCTCTCTCTAAAGACACTTTCACTCCCATTTTCACTGTCATTGTTTTCAGGGAACAGGGTTATATGCAGAAATAAGACAAAGAGGTATTCAAATGTACAAGTTAAAGAACAGGTTTCTGCTTCTGTGTCCAGGACTATAATTACTCATCTGGCAGATGAAACAGGTCAAGAGAAAAAGGTTACAGAGAAACAGGTCAAGAAAAGTATCAGGCAAAATTGAACACTGCCAGTAATCTTGGAATATTTTGGAGAACAGCCTGCTGATGCACAGCTTTAAGATGCACTGCAGTTACAGAAACGAGTGTGATTCATAGAAAGAAATAAAGATTAATTTAAGCAAAACTATTCTTGTGAACAAGTTTACAGAGCTACTTCTTCGGCACTTCTAAGCACATTTACTCCAGCTGGGCAACCCCTGTTTTTACCATTTGAGATTTTGGCCTCTTGTTTATAATTCAGGCTAACATGCATGAAAGGCACTGCATGTGGTTTTTGTCTTGGGCTGCCCCCCTATCATGGGCTTATGCATACAAATTGAAAAACTGTTTTTACAAGTGGCGAGTGTGCGAGATTAGCCCTGTAGTTACCATTTCAGCTGCTGATAAAAAAAGCTGGGAACAGATTCTTTCCAGATCCGTCCTGCACAGCACCAAGTACTTGTTTTCTGAAAACTGAGACTGAAGTTTAACTTCCTTTTTAAGATTTTAACTGAACCTGCCCTAACTGGGTTGGCATTTAATTGCTCCCCCTTGTCAGGCCAGCTCCCTCCCCTGCTCTGCCAGAGCTTGCCCGTGCCCGGCTGGCATTTGAACACAGTTCTGAACTTCTCACACATGCACGCCCTCCTATATATTGAAATTACTCTGAAAGACTGGACGATTTTGAGTCTCCTGGATATGAATCACTGAGTTCTTTCCTAAAATAGTTGTTAGAATTCGGGATTGCAGCCAGGAAAATACAGGAAAAGGAAGCCTGATCAATTAGGCACATTTGGTTTGTTCTGTACATGGATGCACCAATCCCTCTTCCTATTATAACATTGTGTATCCACCTATGATGATTATCTACAGAGTATATTGCCTGGGAAGGGGCTGAAAATGTGGCAGAAGAAGGTAGATTTCATTGAGCCAGGAAACTGGCTCATTCTACAGTGTCAATTATTTTTTCAAACACTTTTTATTTCAGGCTTGCATGGGAACAGTAGAATCTCTGAAAGTGTTTTGCTTGTGTTTTGCTGTGCACTGTCCCAGCCTGCTCTCCTCAGAAAACCAAGCCTAGGTTCATTCAGAGGCAGGCAGGAATCTTCAGCTGTAGGAGCAGCTGTATTCACTCCCTGCACATCTCCTAAATCTCAGTGATCATGTAAACACAGCTAACAGAGAAATCTGCTCACTCTTACAAGTGCTTTTTCTGCTACAACCTGTAATTTACTGCATCAGATAGATAATTTTTTAATAATAAAAGGTGTTTTGATTTGTGTATCCTTCATGCTTTTAATCTCATCATCCTATTAAAAAAATTTCCCTAATTATATAGTCAATTTTTTAAAATGGCCACCCGTGATTTGGAAGAGGGCTCACTTCAAATACTAAATGATACTTTATTCCTGTTACTGCATTTGGACCAACAGTGCAGCACATTTTCCTGTGTGTGAAGTATGCTTTTTATTTGCAAAATTAATACTTTTATTCTGTCAGAGGGGAGATTTTAGGTAGCTATGTGGAAGGCTCCTTTTACAGGCTGTTTGCTGAGAAATTCTGGATTAATACCACTGACTTTGTAGGTGATATCAGAGAATTATCATACTTGCTCTGCAGAAGTTCAAGGGAAAAAAATGCAAGAATAGAGAGATTTGTTAGTAAATTCCTCCTTCTATATGTAATTAATGCTGCTTATTCTTAATGAACTTTTTTAATGCTAAAATTTTGGCCTGTGTTAGGAGGGAGAACATTCAGAAGCTCACGATGGTTCCTTTATGGTGATCAGTGAAATAAGAGACTCATCTAAAGAGGTGTTATGTTCTTACTGAAACTTGAGCTGTGCTTGAGTTATCAAAGATGATGCTGGTTTTGCCTGATAAAATGATTTAAATATTCCCCACAACCAAGGCAATAATAATTCTGTCTCCTCCAAGGAATGTCTGCTAGTGGCAAGAGAGTCTCTGAGGGATTTATTTTTTTATTATTGTTAATTTTTCCCCCGTAACCATATATTCTACTGTGAAATAAATCCAGCCTGCTAAAATTGTACTGACCTCTCCAGAATGCTAACTAAAAACCTGCACTTTTAAATTTAATTTTATCTTTATATTAATTAATTAAAATATTTAAATTACTTTCAAATTACTGTTTACGAGAAGACCTTAAGTTCCTTATGCTTTGACACGGGTAGAAACTGTCAGCTTACTGTGTTTCTCTCCCTTTAAGAAATTGGAAGAACAGGACCGAAAAGCTCTAAATATTAAAGAACAATTGCAGCGGGAGCACCGCTACCTCAAGCGCAGGTTGGAGCAGCTTTCCGTGCAGGGCATGGAGCGAATCCGCACTGACAGCATGGGATCAACAATATCCACTGACTCTGAACAAGGTAACTGAGCCAGGCCTTCCCAAAGGGGGATAGGGAAACGAGGAAATGGCATTTAGAACCAAAATCAAGCTTTCACCAAAACCCAGACAAAATCATTCCATAATGCGATTTGAAGAGTAAAAGATGAACGCATTTTTTTCATATTCTTTGCAAAATGGTCTTTTTCCTAATCAGTTTTGAAGCTGTTAATATTGTGTGTATTTTTAAAGCTATTTATCCTGCATGTGTTTTTTTGCCAGTTTTTTTGACAATTACCATTTCATGTTTTGAATTTTTAGTGTAATTATTGGTAAGGCTGGCATAATATTTTCTCGTGGAAAAAAAATCTTATTTGGCTTAATTAATTTGTGTGAATAAATGATTTCCACATCATTTATTGTGAAATATTAAAACATTTTCTGTGCTATGATCACCAAGGATGCTCTGCATTTGGTTCTCATTTAAGACAGCTCGTCAAGCTGGCTGTTGCCATTTCTTATTTTCCCATTTGGAAGTTTTTCTGTGTGGAACTGTCACCCAGGCTGGTTGTTTCAGGGCCCAGGGGGGCTGAGTGGTCGATCAGGGGGCAGTTACCTGGGGACAGGTAGTGACACCACAGCCAGCCAACACCTGCATGGTTGGAATTACTGTGGGCAGTGCTGCAGTATAACAGCCTCTGAGGGCCAGCTTTTTTCTAAATCAGTGTCTATGTGCAGGTTGGAACAGTTCTGTGAAAGCATTTGGTATTGATGCAGTATATTTTTGTGGCTGAGGACAGAAGGGATTTTAATTCTCAGGTGGATAAGATGATCCTTTCCTCAGGAATTACTGTGCCAGTTCTATTTTTTTTAAATTATCAAAACTGAAGTGTGGTTCAGGTTTCAACTGGATGTTGATTGACACTGGCCCATGACTAGTTGCTACAACTTTCTGAAAATGTGCCTTCTTATGTTTTCTTTAGAAGTAGACATTGAAGGAATGGAGTTTACTCCAGGTGAAATGGACAGTATTGGAAGTGCCAGTGATGCTGAAGACCACTACAGTTTGCAGAGCGGTTCGAGTGACGGAGGTTACACACATTCCCGCAGACTGAATGCCAGGCTCTCATAGTGCCTGAGTTACCCGCCCAACTCAGGACCATCTGACTGAAGCACTTATATATGAATATTCCAGAGGTGTCAACTGCCACTCTTCCGGGAAACCCCAACCACAATACTCTGACATGGAGGTTTCTTACCCCACGGTTCCCTGCACTGTAACCACAATATTAGATATTGTAAATCATGGGTTTGCTGCAGAGAACTGTGGTTAGGTACAGTTGTGACTTAAAGCTAGCTTGATGTAGCCATCCTGCAAATTAAAGGAAATAAATTATGTCGTTCCATTCAAGAAGTATTAAATTCAAACTGTTGGAAGCATGGCGTAAGGGAGTTTGACAGTTTATTTTGATTTTGCAGAAACCATTTTCAAACATGGAAGAATAAATGAAATCTACAATGTGGTAGTGATTCAGAGATACAAAAACCTAAAACAAATTTTTGTGGTATTTTTTCATGAAAAAAAAACCCCAAATCCAAAACATTTTGAATGCTGTATAGTGGGTTCCACAGAGTAAATTCTTTCAGCAGTTGTTGTTTGGGTGAAGCAGGCAGATAAATCTTCAAATCTCAGATGATCTTTAGAAAAGGTCGTATTTACAAGTCACTACTGTACTTCAAAACGGGGGAAAAGCCAGCTCTAATAATGACTTCATGTGGGATGATCTCAACTTTCTTTTGCTTTTTGTATTCAATATCCAACCAGCAGCAAATCATTCTATCCATGTTAACGGGAGCAGTAGAAAGCAACATGGCAGTTTTAACCTGTTACCGTGGAATGGATGACATTTGAAGCATTTCAGTGGTTTTTATGGGTTGTTGTTTTCATTTCTTTCTCTGAAGAATACAGAACTCAAGTTTGTGATAGTTAATCTTTCCTTGCAAGGAAATGAAATCTCTGCTTGTATTTTTTTTCTTTTCTTCTATTTACACATGTCAATACATTTTTATGGAAGGCATGGCTTAAAATTACAGTATTCAGCTAGAAGATAATTAATTTTTTTCTTTTGCACACTATAATTGCATTTTCTATTCTTAAAAAAGTGCAAAAAAATTAAAATGTATGCTGTAAAACAGCAAAGTTTATTTAGTACTCATCAAGCTGTTCAGAACATATTTACCCAAATTGTAGCAATACTATGAAGATGTATTTTAATACAACTTCTGCTTAGTGAAGTCATTAGAGCTTGGCTTGCCGGGTAAGAAAAAAATGGACCAGTCTTTGCATTATCTGTTTAAAGAAGGTCTTTTAAAAAAAAAAAAAAAAAAGAAGAAAAAAAAAGAAAAAAATTGAAAAAAAAAAAAAAGAAAAAAGCTATAAACACTTTTAGGGAAGTGATTTTAGCAAGTGTAGTCTATATTTCCTGTAAGAGATTTTGTATTATATTTTCCTAAATGTTCTCATTTACTTGTATAAGGAGGGGAATGGTACAGACCCAGACCAGAGTCTCAGGGACTCTTCACCTTTGTCATATTGTGCCTTGGTGACCATTTATGTATGCCTCTCCTTTTCATTGTTTAAAGGACAACTAAGCTTTGTTTCAAGACCCTCTGTTCAAATGGTCAGTTGTCCACCTTCTTATGGATGAAGCAGAGAGGTGTATTTATATCTTCACCCTCTCACAACTGATTCAGTGTGGCTTTAAGTAAAATCATGAAATTAGGTTTTGGTGCGAGGGTTAATTGTCTTTGTATGAGCCCTCCCTTGGATTCTTCAGCACCCAAATCTATTTTTTGTTAGCTTATAAAGTCAGGGTCTCTGTGAGACCAGCGCTCAGTGGCTTGGGAAACACAAACGTACTGTGTAAGGCTATGGGATGTCCAAGTGTGGTGCCATTTTTAGCATTCAGATACAAGACCTCATGACAGACTGACCATAATGATCAAAAGCAAAGGTTCAGTTGTTCTTTCAACATCTGACATACGTGTCCTCCCTTTGGCTCTTACAACACGGAGTAGAAATACGAATACATTTTGTGGCAGCTTACAGATCCTTGTTTGCACTCTCGCTTACTGCTTGGAACTTGCCAACAAGGAAACGTATACATTTAATTTACATAACCTAATGGATGGCCACCCCTACTTTGGCTCTGGGGAGGGGCCTAAGGTTATCAACTCTGGCAGCTGAATAAGAAAACAATTAACCTTTTCTGTGATGCAGGTTTTGGTATTACATTCTATACACCTTGCATATTACTAAAATCCTCATTGTTGGGGAAAGCACACAGCAATATACTCATTGTGTGTAGCTGACAAGCAGCAGAAATTACTAGCTCCTTTGGTGCATATGTAACTAATTTCCAAATCATGGAAAAAAAAATAAGAGTTTACTTTAACACTCGACTGTTAACAGGAAAAAAAAAAAGAGGCTAGTATATTGTTGCTGTTCATTTATTATATAATGAACACATTCATGGATTGTAAAGTGTTTCCTTTCATGACAAGCAGCTCTTGCACAGAACCTCCTAATGAAAAGAGATTTGAAACTTACAGAAGGAAAAACAAGACTTTAAATTGAACATTATTGTACCTTAGGTCAACCTGAAATTTTCCTTTTAAAGATGAATGTGCTAACTTAATGAGTTCTTCCACGCTGGGTATCCATGGCTTTGTAGATCTTATATTTTCAATAAAAATTACTCGAATAATCTTGAGTGGAAATAAAAAGGGCTTATTTGTTTTTACTTTTTCAGTTATTACAGCTGGGAGCTATTAACGCTGGTAAAGAAAAATGACACCATACTGCCTGTGTCATTCTCCCTGAAGCACAGCCCAATTTAAGGTGGAATTTTCAGGCACAGCCCCCGGACAGCAGCAGCCCCGTTAGAGGCAATGGCCCAGCAGTTCCTAGGGTCAGGTTTGGGGGCTGGGCTGTCCCCAGCAGCAGAGCTGCAGTCCCGTGGGGACGGTCGGGGCTCTGACATTCCTTCAGATCCTGCTTCTGAGCAGCCAGGGCAGCACTGCCTGTGGCCACAGCACCTTGGGATGCAAACAGTGTTATTTGTATTATTTTTTCTCAGCTGGGCACTTGTGTGTTTGCCCCGTGCGTGTGCACAAGTGTACCTGTGCCCACAGTGGCACTGCAGAAAGCAAACTGTTCTCTGCAGGATTAAATCCTGTCACCTCCTTGGCAGCTCTGCTGTGTTGTCATGACCGCACTTTTAGCAGGCGAGGAGGTGCTGCTGCTCTGCGCATCCATTTCCTCTGCAGTTACCACATCGGAAAAGGAGTAGGGACAAGATTACAGGGCTGCTAGGTCTTTTTCCCTGTGGAAGGGGCTCTGGAGAGATGAAGTCATTGTGAAGTTCTCTTTATGGAGATGTGGAGGTTTGGCCTGTTTTCTGGGGGAGAAGAAAGGAAGGGCTTTCCCTTGCAGCACGCAGGTGTTGGAGGATGCACGCCTCTGCATTGCTCCTGGATTAGTTCTTCCTCCAGCTCCGTGCCTGCACTCTGGCATCACCAGAGGGAGGCACAAAAAAAACCCAAAAAACAACAGCCTAAAATTGTTAGTTCTTTCTGCATATTCTCTGCTGCAATTCAGAGGATGAATCCTCCTTCACATCCATTCTCTCTCTGCCCAGCTTGTACCCTGCCAGACCCATTGCAACTGATTTATTTATCTTCTGAAAAGAGCAGGTTTGGCAGTAGAAGCTCTGCAACACGTTATTAACCAGGGACTGGATCCTGTATTGTCTTCTGCAAAGAACAAACTTGGTTCAGAGTGAGTTTTAGCAGGTTAAAACAGAATAAAAAAACCTCCCAAAAATCCATGCGAAGGGCAGTTTTCCATATGGTATTTATAGATGAGTTTCAATCCTAATTTATTAGTTTAAGATTTGGAGTAGAAAAAAAAGACTTAAAATCTAACACATCTAACTTGATTTAACTTACAGAGTAAGACTCTGACTTCAATGGTGTTGTATTTTTGATGTGGATGAGTATGGGTTCAACTATACCACATGCATATAATAATAGAAGTAGAAAAAAAGTTACTCCTTGATCTACAAATAAATTACAGTGATAAATACCAGTATTCTGAGCATCTGACTGTACACTTTGCAAAACCCATTTCAGTGGATGAACTTAAAATGCCAAAAGAAGGCAACAGAAAGAGGTGAAGTTATGAGTGTGGGCTCTGCCTGCAGACCTGCTCTGGGCAGGTGCTTCTGCTTTTCCTGGAGGTACTTAGAGCAGTCTCTGCTCTGCTCTACCAACTTCTTGGCAGACTGGTAATTAGTGGTGAAATTTTTCATCCTTGCAGATCAGCCATGTGGAAACACATTTTTGAAAAGAACCACATCATCACAGTTTTTAATTAATATTAATTTTATACATTTAATTTTATAATGCTGCTGATAAAAGAATGTCTTCAAAACAAATTACTCCTTCATAAATCTGTTAAATTTGTTTTTAAATGGTAGAGGCCATTGGTTATGTGTGGTATGAGCCAGTAACAATGCTGATATTTAATCCATTAACTTACACTTTCCAAAATTGATAGAAGAATAATTGAAACCCTTTAGGACCCCTTTAAGGAAAAGCTGTACTCCCTACAAATACTAATGGGGCAAACACATCAGAAATTAATTTCGCCAGCAATGAAATGAGCCAATTTGCTTAAGCGAATGTCTAAATGCACTGTTGTTAATTGGTAGCTGTAAAGAAAACATCCAAGTGTGTTCTGTAGCTACCCAGAATTAAAATGCAGGGGATATATGAAACAGAAAAAACCATTTGGTCACCCTGGCTGTTCTCTCCATCTGAAGTACTGTAAATAATTCCAGGAAAGGATTCCTGGGGAGGCATGGCCAGCCAGAGACTTGCCTGTTGGCAAAGCAGAGTGAAGGTGTCCCAAGTTCAGAATTCCTTTCTTTCATTTTGCATGAGAGGCATAAACTGTGGTTACACAGGATTTATGGCATTGGAAGGGTCTGTGCAGTATGGATGTTTAAGATAAAATTTTGGTGCAGGTGAAGCACTGACTGAGAGCCTTCTGCTGCTTACTGGTAAAATTGTTACCTAAAGGTGTTAGCAAGTGGGTTCTGTGCCAGAGCCTCTGGGTCCCAGAGCCAAAGGAATGGTTCATAGTCTGTGAGATGCATTTTACTGTATTATACAGATTCATTTGTACACACGTACATGGCGCTTGCTACATTCTGTAGCACACAGAGTATTGTGTTGTATCATCTCGTCATAATATAAATACAAATTTTTATACCTTTTCGTTGTGTTACTCAGGTTTCTTTTAAACTTTCATCACTTGTTTTTGTGTATAGTGTTTCTTCGCAGTTCTTTACATATTGCAAATCTACATGTCAGCTTTTTTCATGTCAGCTATTTCATAAGGACCTCACAGAGTTTTAGCAATTCAAATTAATAGCATGGTATGAAGACTGGGGTGCTACTTAGAGTTCTTTTACACACACTGGCCCATTGAAACCTCAACAGGCATTAATCTTACTTGTGTCTAACCATGTGTGCTGTATAAATTTCCACTATTACATTTCTGAAGACAAACTAACCTGTTTGCAAAGTGCAAATTGAAATGCATTAGTGTCTGTTCTAAGTAATTATACTTGAAATCATTTCAGCTCCGTACAAGACAGGGAAAAAAGCATTAAAAGGCAGCCTACAAGTTCTGCATGTTTATTTTGTCAAATATGAAAGTCACATCACGAGTGATGTGCAGCCAGACAAAAACGAGCATTTTAGCTGATGAGAGATGAGAGGAGGGATGGAGCTGAAATCCTTCTGTGAATTACACTGTTTACTCTCAGCTGCAGTGTGTGACCTCCCCTGGTTTGTGCTTCAGTTTGCAATACATGTTGGTCCTAAATACAGTGATATCTTAAAAATACAGAAATAGTAGTTTTATGTTGAAATCATGGCCAGTAGCTAGTTGATATGTTTATATTTGATTTGAATATGCTGAGCTGCTGAATCAGTAAAATACTCATGTGCAAAGCAAAGTGAACTAATTTTTCTATCACAGTTTTCTTTGAAATTAACATTACAACAAAATAAACATAAAATACAATCTAGCACTTGATAACTTACTATAAATTAATCTCCAACAGAAAAAAAAAAAAGCTATAATAAAATTCTGGCAGTGCTGTACTTTGTAACAGCACCAGTTTTCTCAGCACAAGAATTGCACTGAGTAAAAAAAATTACTATAAATGCGGTGGCACTATTTTTGTAAATCCTGTACAGTTTATGATCTGTACAGCTTTGTTTATGACATTTGCCATATTATACCATTTATTTATAAGAAAAATAAGTTCCCTCATTTCACAAATGCTGGATGTTTCAAATTTAATACTAAACATCCAGAAGCTTACCTTACCTGTCAGGATGAAAACTGGGGTTTTCATTCAAAACAAGGTCAGGAGAGTAGACAAACAATTTTCTAGGAAAAGTTGTGCATTTTAAGTTTAAATATATTAGGAGTGGTAGCCCAAACGTGTAGGAGCTTCTTGTATATTTATGGTACTGAATCCAACAAAGCTGAAGGAAACTAATCACTCTGACCTGCTTTTCTGGGAATACAAGGTCTCAGAATGAAATCCACCATTCCTCTGGAGAGAAGATACATGCACTTGGCAAAGAAAGCAAGCTGGTGCCAAATTCCTGCCTTCTGACTTTGTTATAATAAAAGTTCACATGGCACTTCAAAAGTCGTGCTTAATCCAGAATACAAATTTGCTTCAAGCAATGAATTACATTTTAGGACAGGGTGTTTCCAAAGAGTGATTGTTGCTCCAACAATCTGCAGCAGCGACCTTTGCAATCCTGCTGCTGTGAGCAGATGTGCAGTATGATGCAAAATCAAAAAGCTTCTGTACAGTTACAGTTCACCAGCTAAAAGCCTACTTCCTTGTCTCCTCTGTGTTTTTTTTTCCCAAAACCAAACCATAACCAAAACAAAACCCTAAAGCAGTAACAAGCAAACGACTTTGAGTTTTTCATGTGACAGATGTATCCCAGTGGGAGGGTTCAGGCTGGGCAGCTGCAGTGCTGTGTGGTGGCACTGCACTCCTTGGCTGTTTGTTAGAGCCTCGAGGACGACGGGTAACCGAGAGCTCCTCTCTGAGGTGTCAGGCACAATGATGTCATATTTTGCAGTGGAACAAACACAACATGGTATGGATGGAATACTGCAGAGCTTGCAGACATCCTTCCAGAAATGTTTATGCCTTGATCTGCTGGAATTCACCATAAAATAGCTTGTAAAGGCAATATGCTATCTAAGCAGCCTCTCCAGTTCTAGGAAACAGATGCAAAACAACTGCTCCTAGAATGGAAAAAAAGAGTAAGGTAAGCCTTAATTATGTTTTGACTGAACACAACCAAAAAACAAAATGAATCAGAGGAAAACAATCTTGACCTAAAAGGAGCTGAAAAGCAAATACTGAAGCACATGGGTCTGAGGTTGGGTGGGGAAAAGGGCTGTCAGAAATTTTGACAGTATGTTTGTAGAAGGCTGACCTAAGAACTGATCGATGGTCTAACAAATGAAAATTTGTTTCTCTTTAGAGGCTTGTTCTTTCAAAATGAGAATTTTAAGTGCACAGTGTTCTGACCTAAAATATTTCAATTCTAGCCTGAATTCCTATGCCAGTGGGGATTATGAGATCATGCTGTCTGTCAACTCCTCTTTCGTCCATCTGTTCCCCTCCTCCTTTCCTTGATAACTTCTGAACCTTCTGGCTAATTTTCACAAAATTTAACAAAGCAGAGATAGAATGGAGCCTGCAATTAATAATCCATGATGAAAACTTTCATGGAAATTCCATGTCTGGGTAGAAAGTAAAAGAAATAATTTCCTGCATTGAACATGGCAAAATTGAGCTCTTCCCTGTTTTCAAGAGGTGGCCACTGGCCAACAAGGACATAGCTCCAAACCTGCTACAGAATGAGCATGTAGTGCTGCTTTCCCAGGTAAACAGATGGGGACATAGGTTTTGGGAAAGGCCACGAAGGAGCTGGGACATCATAGCTGTGTGAGTCTGGAAAGAGAGGGAGGAACCAGTCACGCAGGGAACTGAAGGCATGAGTTGTAGCAATCCAGGCAGACAATTTGATAAACAAAAGACAGGCAAACTTTTATCAGATGTATTTGTGGACTTCATTGGCACAACTGCCTTTGGACAGCAGAATTTTAGGAATTTTTCTAGGTGCTTAAAATTTGGTTTTATGCACGCATTTTTTACATGTGGTTTTATGCACGCATTTTTTTACATGAGTAACACTGATATTTGTAAAAAAAACCCCAAAACCACAACACTGTGAAGCACAAGTCTGCAAAATACCACTGTAGGAGAAGTTGACTTTGGTGCAAGTAACTGACTGAACTGAAACAGCATGAGCATTATGAAATAAGCTGGTGAATGCTTTTGTTCCTTCCCTGTTGGACAGACACAATGCACTCCATCTGCAAGATGATTTGAAAACTTCAGCCAGCCTAAACTGCAGCTGCAGATCAGGCTGTAATCTGATGGGGAGGACTTCAACACTACAGCTCTTTTTGCCCCTGAGAACTCACTGCCAGGCCAGGGTTTAGTCTAAAAATTTCTTGCATAGACGACATTATACCAGAAATCAACATTCTGCACTTTGCAAGTGATACAGGTGCTGATTTTGCTCAAGAAAACCTAATGTGAGATTGCCTTAGCTGTGCTAAGCTTCAAGGTTGCTCATTTCCCTGTGTTGGTTCATTTCAACAATTGCATTAAGTGAGATTAGAGAAGCTGCACATTTAGGACAAGTAGTGGGAGGGCTCAACCACCCACATACGGACTGGCTCAATGCTCCATCAGGGTGAAATGTAGAGATAACATTTCTGGATACAATAAATTATTTCTTTTTAGAATAACTGGCCTTATGAACCACAATAAAAAGAAATGCCATTCTGAATTTAGTCTTCAGCAGTGCAGAGGATCTAATTCAAGAGCTATTAGTGGGTGAGCTGCTCAATAGTAGCAACCACAATATAATTGAACTTAACACTAAGATGAATGCAAGACAAATAAAGCAAAGAGATACTCAATTTTAAGAAAATGACCTATGCAAACATGGGGAAAAATGCCAAAACAAACCCTAAATGAGCAGTTCCAAACCAAGAAGCCTGTAAACACCCAGAAGGCTTAAAAATACAGTTCTAGAAGCCAAGGTAAAATGTCTGACATAAATATAGAAAAACGTGGCATAGACCTCCCCCCCTTGCATGATGACTCAGTGAGAAATATAAGGAGACTATTACAAGGCACATGGGGAAGCCCAGGAAAACGTAGCATGCCAAATGTAAAGAGGAAGTGAAGATGGCTAAACTTGAGGAGTGGCTGATAAAGGATGCTCAGAGTGTTAGTGACAAGTTTACACAACGCTCATCTGAGAACCAGCCTTTGCAATGCAGAGGTCCCGCAACCTATGTCGAGAGCTTTCTTTGTAACTTCACAGGCAGCAGTAGCCAAAAAGCCAAGAAAACAGGGAGCATTGTAAGGCAGGCACTGGAAATAAGGATTCCGTAGAAAACCTTGGTACACCCATGCCCTGAGGACTCTGTGCAGTCTCGTCTCTGCACCCCGAGCGAGGCACAGCGATGCTGTTAAAGGTTCACAGCAAGATGTTGGGAACAACGTGGGGAATGGAGAGCTGGTTCTACAGAGGCCAAATTTTGTGACTCTCCAAACTGGAGAGGACAAAGCTGAAGCAAAATGCCCTGGTGGTTGGTAAATTGCCATGAATACCAGGAGTAAGGTACATGCAGAGGTGGCAATGACCAAATCCTGAAGTGCTACTGCCAGGAATCATTTGATGAGTTTTAGAAAGCTACAAAACAATTAGGAAAGAGCCTTTTCAAGCAACACTCAATGACGTTCTAGGATGTGGCATTGTGAAGTTATGTCTCAGCATGTTCAAAAAAGCAGCAGGCAAGTCCAAGGACATAAAGCCCATGAATTACCGAAAGGACTAAGCAGGGGTGAAAGCCAGCAACACAACAGCATTGGCACGGATAGCGAAGTGCTCGCCGCCAGCCATGTCTGGGCATGCGGTCAAAGTCGGCCGACATCAACTGCGCGCAGATCTGCCCCATCGTCCCCCGCCGTGTGCTGGGCAGGGGAAACGGGGAGCAAAGGCCGCGGAGAGCTGAAGGGACGGGCCTGCGGGTGCTGAGGGAACCGGACAAACCAACCGAGACCCCGCCGACCGCCCTGACGGGAAACGCGGCCCGGCCGTACTGGCCCCGCCCACGTGACGTCACCAGCGAGAGGAACGTTACGCGCATGCGCGGGGGCCCCCGTGGGTGGGGCGGGCGCGTGCGCAGCGCGGTGGGCGGGGCTGGGCGGGGACACCGCGCGCGCGGCGGGCGGTTCGAGCTGTGGGCGCTTCCCGAGCCTCTCCTGAACCTCCCCTCAGCCTTTCCTGAGTCTTCTTTCACCCCTCCCCCGGCCTTCCTGCCGCCGCCGCCCCTTACCCTCCCTAAGCCTCCTCTCAGCCCTCCCTTAGCCTGCTCTCCGCCTTCCCGCGCCTTTCCCTCAGCCCTCCCTGAGGCTCCCTTCAGCTTTCCCGCCATTTCTCGCCTCGCTCCCCTCCCTTGGAGCCGCCGCTGCGGCAGAGCAGAGCGCTGGGGTGAGTATGGAGCTGTGCTGCGGGCTCGGGGCTCGCTCCGGCGGCACGGGATCAGCCGCCGCCACCGCGTCCCTGCTCCCCTCCGACCTCTCGTCCCGGCCGGGTCCCAGCGTGGCTGGAGGCAGCGGCCGCCCCGGGGCCGGGACGTGTCCCTTGAGGGCCCCGCTCGTGCGGCCCGCGCGGGTTCGGGCATGGCGGGTGCTCTGTCAGGGCTCCGGAGTTGTTGTTTGTGGTTTTTGGTGGCAGTGACAGTGTCGTGGTGGCCCGGAGTGCCCGCGCACAGGGCTGTGTGGGGGCCATTATTTCACAGAATCAGTAAGGTTGGAAGGGACCTTTGGAGACCATCCAGTCCAACCCCCTGCAGGGTCACCTGGAGCAGATTACCCAGGAACGCGTCCGCGTTGTTTTGACATGTCTCCAGAGAGGGAGATTTCATCTCTCCGGGCAGCCTGTTCCAGTGCCCTGCCACCCTCAACGTGAAGTTCTTCCTCATGTTAAAGTCAAACTTCTTGTGTTTTAGTTTATGGCACCACGTAAAAGAGTTTGGCAGCATCCTCTTGGCACCCATATTTTTGTATTTTTAGGACATTAAAATGTCCCTCCCTTTTAAGCACGGAATGCAGAGGACACGAAACTCGAGCAACATTCTGTGTCATCTGCAGTCTCTGAGCTAAGTCAGACACATGGGGAACTTTGGAGGAATAGCATTACTTGTTCAGCCCTCCAGGCTCGCTGGCAGAGTGGGGTTCTCGGGTGAAATGTATGTTTTAGAAACAAAGTATTAAGTAATATAAACCTAAAAAACGTCCCTTAGTATTACCCGTATTGCAGACGAGGCCTGCTGACTGTTGGTAACTTATCCCATATCATTTGCTGTCTGTTACACGTGCTTTAGGATCTCAAGGCTGATTATTTGTCTGCTGGGAAACAGAAAAGCAGCAAACTCCCTTTTCTTGTACGTTGTGACCGTTTTCACAAGAGCATTTTTACACTGATCTTAATATTAATTTTTTGTCATTGATCAAAAAACTCGCAGTTTTATGTTGAGGTATTTATATGTTAAAGTATTTCTTGTTCCATTTTCAGAGGAAACTTTAAAACAAAGGTTTAGAAGACAAGATTCTGCTTGCTGTTGAGGTAAAAAAACCCTTAGAGCCAAGATCTTGAAGTGCAGTGTAACGTCACTGTAGTTTTGTTTTTAGAAGAAACTGAAAACCCTGGTCATTTTGGAAGATTTAAAATAATCATGGGTGGTTTTTAAAATGAATATGCTGAAAACTGTGTAAGTAAAATCACTTTTGCAGGCCAATGAACTGCTCAATATTAACAACTGTTGCTTTTAAATTAATAATATTATACTGTTTTCATAATAAGTTTATGTGGATTGAGGAAAAATGTAATGCTTGCAATGATCTGGGTTGTAATTGATACAAAAATATGTCCCGATTTGATCAACAAAATATATTAAGATATCTGAAATTAAAATTGGTTTCTAGTCTTTGAATGGCCACTTTAATCCAAAACAGCATTCAGGGTTTTGTTGTGTTTTTTTTTTTTGTGATCTGACAGTTCCTTTTTCCTGTACAGACTCTTTTTATTAAAATACTGAATATTCATTTTAAATGGCAAAAAAATTAAAGCTGGAATAATACCCCAGATTTTTTCATGTATTTGGATCTTTTCTGATTACAAAAATATTTTCATCATGAGCTGTGGAAAGGATTTTGTGGAAACTCTTAAAAAAATTGGATATCCAAAGGCTGATGAGCTTAATGGAGAAGATTTTGACTGGATGTTTGAGTCTTCAGAAGAGAAATCATTTTTGGAGTGGTTTTGTGGAAACTTAAATGAGAAGCATGTGGTATCTGAAGAAGAACTGCAGGATTTTGATAATCTCCAGTGTGGTAAGCCTGTTCTGGAAGGAAATGCACTGGATGAAGTCCTTAAAACCTTGGACCCCACAGATTCAACAGCTAGGAGTCAAGAGGAGGACAGGGAAGAAGAGGAAGAAGTGAAGAAATTAGAGGATGAGCTTCAAACTCTTCAGAAGTTAAAAAACCTTCAAATCCATCGGTATAATAAGCTTCAACTGATGGTAACTACAAACAGCCACGTGTTACAAACGTTCCAAAGCAGAGAGGAAGAAGCACATAAGAATTGGAAAGAAGGACTGGAAATGTTTACTGCAGCAAATGAGAAGCTTGACAATGAGCTGCAGTCTCTTATAGCTGCAGTGAAGAAATTTGCCTCTTTCTTCACTGCTTCAGATTCAGAACAAGGCTCGGACACACATCCAGTGTTTTTTTCCAGGCTTTCTTTGGACAAATATTTGTCTGTGGAAGAACAAAGCACTGCAGCACTTGCATCACACATAAAAAAGTATTTTCATAAAGGTACGTCTGAATGTGCTGAAAATTCACATGAAGACAGCTTTCAACTCGAAGATTTTATCAGGCAAGTCCCTTTTGATGAGGCTAATGAAGTTTGTGAAGAGAGGCAAGAGATAGCCAGGCTCCAGGCAGCGTATATTTGTGGTCAGAACCAGAGAATTCAGCTGCAAGCTGAAGAGGAGGGCATGAATTCAGTTCTCAAGTTTGCAGAGAGCCTGCTGCAGTCCTCGGACAAGGTAAGGCACGAAAGGTGATAGAAGGTACTGGAGTTTTAAACAGGCAAGTTCCACTGGATCTAGTGAAAGGAATTGCTGAGTTACTGTTATTTCAGTTATTTTTATGTAGTGAAATTGGACTTTTATGAAGTTTTAGTCTAGCTCACAAAACTGCTTTTGTGAAATATCTTCAGTTTTCATGGTTAGAAATTCTTCAATGTTGTACAGTACCTTTAATTCTACTTTCCAGCATTACTACCTTTAAAATCCTAGAATGTGTAGTACTTTTCTAGTTTAGTTTAACTTAGAATTTTCAAATTAGAACTGGCTCTTTTTATGGTAGATAGAATCTTAGCTTTGATTGCAATTTTGTGGTATTGCGGAGCCAATATGATATATTCCTATTTCTATTGTGCAGCATAAGCTTAAAATGTTTTAGTTCACTGACTCTGGAAACTCAAATATTTGTACCAAATAAATGAATCTGGTAGTTGAAGCCCTAGAAGTCCCTCAACAAGTGAGTGACAGGCAGATGTGGCTAGTGGAATTTGTGAAGTAATCATAATGAAAGGAAAGGTATTTGCTTACACCAGTCGTGGAATAACTTGAGGCATCATGTCAGTTTGTGTATTTTCATTTATGGATGACTAGTATATAGGACTTGATTGATTAGGGTAATTTGAAAAAGATTGATACTGCCAGCAGTGTTGATCATCCAACTGAATATAAAAAATTATGTTTGCTTGTGAGATTTCAGCTAGACATGCTTGAAATAGGTGCTGGTAAAATGCAGCTCTTATATGTAACAAAATAAACTGTTTCCTGACCCTGTGATAGAATGAAATTACTTTTTACTGAAATGTATTTATTATCTACTTTGTTCATCTGTATTTGCAATGTTTTGTAACATTCTGTAAAACTAGTTGAGGAGTTTTCATTTAATTTTGTATATAAATGTAACATAAATACATGAATTATATATATGAACTTGAGGAATATTTGGGAGGTGGCTTGGTGGGAACCATGAAGAAATTCACAAATTATTTGTTTTATGCAGGATATTGGACATCAGGAAAGCATTGATGCCAAAATATCTAGTTTAAGTGCTGAAATTGCAGCAATTAAACAAGATATAGCTCGGGTAAATAATGAAAAGCTCCTTCCCCTTCTTAAGAAGAATGCACAACTTTTGACTGCACCAGTGGTGAAAGAATACTTAGATCACCAAATTGCTCGGCAGGACAGTTACGCTGCAATTCAAGATAAAGTAGGCAGGCATTTGATAAGACAGAAAACATCATTTGAACTTATTCAGCTGGCTTGTGAAATGGAGATGAAGAAACACCGGGAGATCAGCTGCCAACTTGAGAATTTGGTAGAATCTCTGAAACAAAGCACGGATGAGTTGCAGCAGAGACTCCAGGCGATAGCTGAACGAACTGAACAGGCAAAGCCGAGGAGCACTATTAGTTCAGAGGATGGTGTATCCTGCAGGTAAGTATTATAGTCACTGTTGAACTTCTTTGAAGTAATATTGGGGAGATGAAGGCTCAGGCAAGGGAAGCCTTGCCTGCTGCTGAGTTCTTACTTACTTGCTGTAGCTAATTAGAATTTTGAATTTTCAAGAACTGAAGCCTTCAAGATGTGAAGCTTGTTTCTTCCGTGTCCTTTGAAATTATTTCAGGTTTCCCTGAGGAAAAACTATTCAATTATCAGTCTTTTTAATATTGCTGAAACATTCCTAATTAATAACTGTAACACGAAGCACGTTTAAACCCAAGCCTGTCTTATCTAGCACCTCCTGATACTCTAGAGGTGTCGATGTTAACAGCAGTGATTTCCCAGGTTGTGTGCACGGCCTCATCGACTGAGGTGGCTAAAGCCCCATGTGGTAGGAGAGAGAACGACTCCTTCAGACTATGAAATGCGTTTAGCTTATTTTTACTTCTTGATTTGCCATCTGGTTTGAGTGTCCTGGCACCTATGTAGGAGTCTGATTTTTCACCATCTAAATAATTAAGTCTCCTTAAAGTTCAGGTGATACAGTTAAGGATGTGTGTTGTGCTGCTCTTCCATCAAGACTAAACCTTTTGATGACATATATTGTGTAATTATAAGTGTGTTACTGTCAGATTTTTCCTCCTTCTTCAGAATGGTGCTTTAAATTTTTGTTTTTTAAAATAATTGATAAGTGATAACTGAGTATGGTTTGGCACAGTGAATAACTGGAAGAATTAGTCGGCCTTAATTTTACTCCTGTTGTGTCGTTGTATCAGCTTGTTACATTTTTGTTCAGTTTTGTTATAAAGTCTCCAAGTCACTGAATGTTTCTGGCTACATTTTTTTTTAAAGTGAAGGGAGGTTGAAAGAATTAAAAACCTTACAGGGTTTGTAAACAAAAGACGCTTGAAAGACATTCAGTTACTTCTGAAATATAGCTCCTACTCTTAATAAAGCCAGTCTGATTTTATATTAGGGATCAGCTCCTGAAGATTTTGTTATGCAGAGGTGGCAGTAACATTTGGACTGTGTAATGTCTGAAATCGTATTAGGCCCTTTCCTGATGCAGTGTAAGGTAGAGTTTGCTATAGTGTGTAATGCTGTCTTTTGTATGACTTGTAACTAATTTCTTAGCAGTCTCTTCATAGATAGAAAACAGGAAATACTTCAATAAGTTTGAAAATGTTACAAAGATTGTTCTTATTTCTCATTGGCTGTTGAAGTCTGCTTTCATTCAGCACTTTTAACAAGTCGATCTTATTTTGCAGCCCTTGAAGTGTTAGGAAATAGTTGGCAAAACCACACTGTCAACTTCTATTTGTATTCATGATGTACTTACTAACTGTTCCTTTAGTATTTCATTGCTGCTAATTTGATACTGAAATAATTTGGATTCCTATTAATCACTCTATATACAGATGGAATCCTGTAATCAGTGGGAGATATAGCAGTGTTGTAAAAATGCCCTCAGCAGTACTTACCTTACTCATCCTCTGACTTCTCAACACAGACATGTTCTCTTAACTAATGATGATATAGAGTGCTTAGGAAAGTGAAAATATTTGTGTGTTTAACTTTACTTGTTACAGGCTGTATCAGCTCCTGGAAGGAGGAAGTAAAAAACAATTGTTTAAAACATACAAAGGCCTGGAGCAGATGGCTCAGAAGTTAAAGCAGGACTGTGCTGCAGTACAAGATCAGCTGGCAGCATCTGCTCAAGAGCAATCTCTCCTTTTGTCCAACCTAGAAAGGGATGTGGATGCTCTTCATGAGGCTTTCTATTGTGGAACAAATCAGATACAGCTCCGGAGTCCGGTGAGCCCTTAATGATTTTTTCCAAATTATTACATTGTGTGTCATATTCTTTTACTGATAAAAGTTTTGTGTGAATGCTCTAGACATACAAGCTGACCCCACTTAGCAGCATCAAATTTATTAACATGATGCTGCTGGATGCTGAATATTTGCATTGTTCTTGGCAAATGCTGGATTTTTGTAAATGCTGGCAGGTAATATTTTTTTTGTTTCTGAGCAAACTGTTGCACCTAACTGAATTTCTTTCAAAGGCATATGCAGTCCTGTATTCCTGTAAGCTTGTGGTGTGGGAGATCCTTTGTCTGGATAGGGTGTCACTGGAAAACTTTATGTTGCTCTTCTTTTCATATGGGCTTTCTCCCCTGTTAACTCCAAGACCACAGTAGTACAGTTTGGCCCCTTAAAAGCCTGGCCATGGGTGGGTCATTTGCACAAAATAAAAATACCAGAATTTTGAAGGACAGTTGTAGTAGGACAGTCCTGCTACACAGCCCTCAGGTGTTATGTATAGAACATGTTTTAAATGGGAACAGGGTTTGTTAAATGCACCTTATGGTTTTAAAATCATTGTAGATACCTCAAAAATGCATCAAGGGAAATCTTATGTTATATAATACTTTCCTGGTTAATTGCATGAAAATATATTTAACATTCATCTGTCAAATGAATTTGCAACATAT